TGGTTCAGTCAGTTCCAAGGAGAGAGATGCTTGCCTTCTTGTCAGGGGAAAACCTCTGGTTTCATTAACTGTGCAAAGATATTCCTGATGTGGGTAACTTTGGTTTATGGGTATCTATTAAGCCAGAAAATACAAGGCAATTCTTCTGTTCTAATTCACCTGAATGTATTTCTAATCAGGCTGCATGCAACAGATATCTCCACTGGCCAATTTTATCCACTTAGAGAGTAAACTTTTGTTGTTAGGAATAGAGTCATACACCATTTAAGACAGTAGTAAAATGAGGGTGTGTTGCAGGGGATTTATTTTGGTCTCCTGGACTCAAGGGAAGTGAATGATTGGGCTAGTGGTTATGGTATTTATACATTGGAACATGCTAGAGGTGAGGTATCTGCTTTGTTTGAGGATAAATGGGAACTTTAGGAAAGATGGGAACACAGAAGTTTTACAATTTCACTTGATTGGGCAAATGGACTTTTGCCCCTGAGTTGTGCCCTCAATGTCTAGAAGAGTGAGTGAGAGCACTGCCTTACCAGAAAAAAGGCACATTGATAGCTGAGGATGAACATATGGAGCCTAGAGTTAAGAGAAAATAACACACGTGTGCACACAAACACCTATCTTTACATGCCTCATCAAAGTGTTTAGAGAGTTGGCCTCAGATGACAATCTTCCTCCCAGTCAAACTCTAATCTTTCTCTACACTCAACATACCCAGTCCCCTCAGGCTCCTCTCCCCCCTTTCCTTCCAGGACCCACACCCATTTCTCACTGCATCCTGGCAGCATCACAAAGTGTTCCCATCTCTTCCATTTCCCTGGAAAGGATACTATCTGTCTTAGGAAAAAATGTTAGTCTTGTGGAGCCAAACACCTACAAGAAACACATTCCTCTTGCTAACAATAATAGACTCTCAGAACCATGGTTGTCAAACTAAGGAAGTTTCTCTTTGCAATATCTTCTAAGACCCTCCTTCCAAAATCCTCCTCCCCATCAAGAGTTAAAAGAGGAAGAAGGAAGGAGGGAGGGAAGGAAGGAAGGAAGGAAGGAAGGAAGGAAGGAAGGAAGGAAGGAAGGAAGGAAGGAAGGAAGGAAAGCAAAGCACCTACTCTGCTTGACTAGTGAGCTCAGAGGTATATGTTTGTGAGACACTCAGGAGAAACATAGAGAGCCTCATGCCATATAAGCACCATGGTGTGTTTTTGGGTAAAGAAGGCTGGACCATTTGATGTGCCTTCTGCCCACATGGCCAAAAATTCTTTCTCTTGTTCTAAAAGAATACTGACTCAGAGAATCTAGAGACAAGGATTCTAGTTCCAACTCGACTTAGTTGAGTCGGGACAAGTGAATTTTGCTCTCTAGTTATCAATTTCTTCAGTAGTATGGCAATATTTTTAACATTTGAGGAAGGCTACAAACCTGCTGTGTTACATGTGTTCTCTCAGCTAATGGACACAAACACATGGGAGGTAAATATTATGATTCTCCACCTATTTCACCAACCAATGGCCAAGGTGACCTTCCACTGGCTCTTTGAACTTATCGGGCTTTTCCTCCCTGGGGCTTTTCCTTGTGCTTTTCCTTCTGCCCAGAGCACTTTCCTTTACCCCCAACTCCTTTCTTCATGGCTTTCTCTCAGTCATCTTCAAGGTTTCAACTTAACTGTATGTCCTCAATTATAACTTCCAGTCTAGAAAGCTTCCCCTCAATATATGTAGCACAAGTTGTAATTACTTCATATGTATGCTCTTGTTGATTCCGTCTCCCGCATCCTGTGTTAAACTCCGTAGTGGGCAGGGCCCTTCTTTGTCTTTTCTCCAATTTTTTTACATTTCTGTTCCCTATCAGCTGGCACTTAGTAAGTACACCATTAAACATCTGCTAAATGAACCAGCAAATGTGTCCTGATGTGGTAGATGCAGGAGCTAAGGTTTGGAGAAGTTAAATATCTTGCTCAGTGCCAGACAGCTGGGAATTGCACTCAAGCTTAGGTCTGCCTGACTAGAACTGCTCCATGGACTACTGGGAGGGAAATTTGTGAGAGGATTTCCAAAGTTTCCTCCCACTCTACATTCCCCTACAACAGCACTAGAATTTTGACTCCCCAAAAGTTTCCAGCCCCCTCTTCCCATTCTGTCTTAATGTATTCTAATTACAGGACCAGGCCCTTGGCTAATATACTCTGAAGGAGTTGATTTCACTCACTCAAATCCATAATCAGCTATCCTGTAACCTGTTATTCACTCAGCAGGATCTGACTCTTTCAGTGTTATACAGCTATTATCTATTTAATCCTCATATTATGATAGTACTTAATTTGATATCAGTCACACAGTATGATTTCCCTTTAATCAGTGAGGACCATGGGAAAAGAGAAAGTTAAGCACAAAGCCCATGGGCATTATATTTAACTCCTGTGCAATGTCAGAACTCAATAGAAGTAAAAAGAAAAAAATAGTGGTGTGTGTGGTTTCAATAGTATGATGCCTTTGTCTATGCATCTAACATTTTGAACAGTTGAATGTAATTATCATTCTATCTTAAGTTCATTACACGGTAGTATTAGTAATATATTACTGTATATAAAGCACTTTAAAATAGATGAAATGCCAAGGATGATTTCTTTCTAGCCATTAAGTGCTAAAATTATCAGGATTTGTCTTTATGCCTTTTACTCTAACTTGCTATGCTTTAATATTTCAAGGAATTTTTTTAAGATGCAGTTGTTTGAAGGCTATGCTATTCTTCCACCTCTTTAGTCAAAGAATAAATGACAATTACACACATGGCTCTTGCCCCAGAGAAATGCAGATGTGTAAATACCACACAAATCTCTTCATGAATTGAGAGGGGCTGCGCATGAATACACACTCCATCTCATTTAGTTCTTTCATTGACTCAGAAAGATACAGGGATTTCCCTGTTTGACAGGTGAGGAAGTGTGAACAGGAAAAGAGGTCTCTCCACAGGTGTGCCACAGGGTTTTGGGTTCCATTTCTTCATTCCTTCTTTTGGAAGAAGAGTTTCCAAGGGTGCCATCATGACATGGCACAAAGACAGAGACACTCAGTATTGTATGAGTGTCTAGATTTAAGTATTGAGCAACTAAGATCACTTTCTCTTTATTCCTACCAATACAAAGAACTGTCACAAAGAGTATTTGGTCATGAGAAGTAATCAAATCCATGCCACAGGGATAAAAATCAGGTTCCCTTCTGCCCTGATATTCTGTGTACATCATCCCCACTGTGGAGTGGATTGGGGTAGCTCCTGCATATTCCTCACCTCCCATCAGTGAGTCAAACTAGGAAAATCAGAAAAAACAAATGTGGCCAGTCTTTCTGGAAAGCATGATGTTGGTTCACTGGGACTGATGGTTATACAGACTTGGCTAGAGATGAGTAAGTCTAAATGCCATATTTTGTGGTCTGGAACATCTTACCAAGGAGCTTATCCACATCCACTTACAGTAATAACATTTGATAACATTTATTGAATGTTTGTTCTGTGCCAAGATCTGTTGTAAATGTTTTATACATATTAACACATAGAAACCTGGTTTGCTTTTTACCATATATACTATATATTTTAGACAAGTTATTTCCATTTTTAAAATATTGATTTTAAAACTAACAAAACTTCCACACACACAAAAATGACACACCAACTATTGCTTTCCCTGTGAAGGTCTTATCATTAACCAGTCTTTTTCTATTAAAGTTAAGTAGACAATTGGGACAAACAGTTTTGAGGCTCTTCTTCTACCACCGATTGAGGGAGGCAGTAGGTATTATGGACAATACTTATTTTGCCTTCTGAACTTTCTGAGCAGACATGGTGACTGTTGCTAGCTTCATCAGTCTTCTTGTCTACAGCAACTGATTCATGTCATGAACAGCAAAATGATCCAGAGGACCTGTTATCAATGCTATTTTATTGATGTGGGGACCAAGGCATGGAGAAATGAACTAACAATGCCAAAGTCACATTCCAGAGCTTATACATTTATAGTTACTGTAAGAAAACAAATAACTCCTCTAGCTATGCAAAGTGAGCTAGTGTTCCTAATAGGGATCCTAACCTACTATAAGAAGCTGAATTCCAAATGTTGAAATAAAATAAATGGGACTATTACAGCATGGATCAGTGTTAAGTGCACTTGATCAACTTTTTTTTTGGAAACAAGGAAATTGTTTTGAATTTAGCTATACTACATGGAAAAAAATTGGCATTTTCTTTCCATCTTCAGCTCTATCTACCCTCCCAGATGTATCTTCTTTTTTAAAGAAATCTTTGAGTTTATGCTTCTCATTTTTATTGCCTACTTTACATAGATCGATGTCTACACCAGGCTACACAATGATATTAGTTGGTAACCAGTTGAACCTTTTAATAGTTGGCTTAGAAAGAGCAACTCACATACAGATTTGACCACCAAGAGTAGCTTGAACTCATACATGCTGGGGTCTTCAGCTCTGAAATGGCACCTTTTAGATACTCACCTACTTGTCCTCCACCCTTTAGCTCTAAAATTATCTGATCATGCCTTTTTAATCATCTATTTCAAAAGACAAACATGTTTTTGAGGAAAAATACAGAGAAACAAAAAGAAGACAGAAAGAACATACCTCAAATTCTTCCCACCTAGAAACATCCATCATTAATCATGTGGTGCAGGTAGCTTTCCAGATCCTTTGATGTGAGATGACATCTCTAGCATCTGAAGCATGATGGCTCTTTACACACACAAATACAGATATTTTGTCTTTGTGTTTAATTAATCTCCAAGCAAAATGGCTTTAGCTTGCCATATTATTTTTTCAGACACCACCTCTCCATTGTCCTCCATCATTCTGGCCTTCATCTTCAGCCTGAACCACACGTGGAATTGCACTTTAGAAGGACCATAACTTCAGTCAGTCCAGACGCTAAGCTCATATTGATATTTCTCATCTGATCAGCATCACTCTAATATCCACTTTGTCTTTTGTTCTTGACAGCTTTTTGCAATCTTTGCATTTGCAACATGCGGTGGTTATTCTGGAGGTCTGCGGCTGAGTGTGGACTGCGTCAACAAGACAGACAGTAATCTCAGCATTGACATAGCATTTGCCTACCCATTCAGGTAAGGCATAGGGGCTCGTGCCCACTGGCCTCACAAGGAGGGCACTATCTCCCTTCTCTCATTTCTCAAAAAATGATGCAGGCTTCCAGGGACTTCTGCGTAAACAGTAAGAATTTTTCCTGAATCCACAAAACACCCAAATAAGTAAAATATCCACTTACCACCTCTCCCTGAGAGGTTTGTGAGTTGTGCCTTCAAACCAGAATTGATTCTCTTCCAAGAAAATGCTGCAAGTGGCCCAGTATTGAGGATTATCAACATAGAGACTTTAATTATACAGTCCTTTTCTCCCTATCTGTATTTTCAATCTTAAGGTCTTCCAAATTCTAAATAGGATTAATGTCACCTCTAACTTCATATTGACTGTGAAATCTTGGCAGATAATATACTTAATAATATTAATATCTAATGTTAATTCTGTGTGTCAGACACTTGCTGTTTACTTGTTAAACTTACTTAGTCATCACAATGACCTTTGAGAGGAGCACAATTGCCATCACCATTTAAAATGAGGAAACAGGCACAGATATGTTTCCTCACATTCCCTTGGCTAGTAAATGAGGGAGTTGGGGTTTGAGCCCACTTGGGGTAAGACCAAGACTCATGTATCTATTTCTATACTTAATTTGGTTGACATAATTCTTTCAACATCTTCAGTCTGAACGATAATACCTTATCTTTGTCTTTGCCTTATGTACAAAATACATACCAGTGCTTGTCCCAAATCAAACATGTTGTGATTCTGACCCATATGCAATATGTATTAATTAAGTTTAATTTTGAAATAATTTGTGCTATAAAACTCCCAAATTCTTGTCACCAAATAACTGGTACAATTTTTTTAAACAACTTGTTTGCAACACAATGTTTGGCATCTTATTAATACACTTTCATTTAATTTAACAAACATGTATTGAGTAATCACCTTGTGCCAGACACTGTGCTAGCTCTGGAATTACAGAGAAAAGTAGAAATTGACCTCAAAAAGCTTCTTAAACATGCAAGTGGAGTGCTTTCCAAAATCTTCCTCAAGGGGCCCTAGATAAGTTAATGTTTCTAAAAAGAAAGGAAAGAAGAAAAGAAGGGAGGGCAAAGGGAAAGGAGGGAGAATTTAAAAATTATATAATCAATTAAGTTTAAAAAAATACTTCCTAGCACTTTGCCATTCTAATGCACATTTTGAATCACCAAGAGAAGCACAGTGTTTCCCAACTGTGTCTGACCACAGAAACCTTTTCTCTCTGAACATCTCAGAGGATTTGTATGTCATGGAACACATCCTTGATATATTGATCTAGGGAACTTTTCCTAATTCAAAACACAAGTGATTTAGTTCATAGGCAATGAATCACAGGGAAGTGGCATTTACACTAAACAGTTTGTACTTAACAGTTTTTTTATATTTTAATCATTGTTCAAGTACAGTTTTCTCCCTTTTACTATCATTCCAGCCCACCCACCCATCCCTCCCCACTTCCCTCCCATTACTTACTTAACAGTTTTTAAGAGTAAAACTGATAAAAGTTGCAAGCCCTCTGCTCAAGTAGATACTCTCCTAACTAATAAGAGAATCCAAAGATCAGGTTAACTACACAAGCAAGTTAAAATAAATCAAGCAAATATTAAGCAAAGGACCCCTGGTAATTTGGTAAGAAGAGGTTTCTGTGCTGCTGAAAATGGGGGTAGGGGTCATTAACACTTTGGAGTTTTGGGTGAACTCCTTGGCTTTAATGGAGAATGGCCAAGCCAATTTGAGCTCACTGATCAACATACAGAATCTAGAATCACAGATAAATATTACCAATGCCTGGGCAGCACAGGTGAGATGCTTAGTGACATTAGTCATGAAATTGTGAGGTCTGCATTGCCTTCTACAATGATTTCCCACCAAGAGGTGTGATAGGAGTAGGTGGCTTGAAAGTCAAACTTTTAAGATATGAAGAACAACAGGTCACTAAACATGAGGTACAAGTCTCTCTGTCTGTCTCTCAAACTGGAAAAGACTAATCAAGAGAACTCTAAAGATAGAAAACCAGTATCTGGGTTGGGGTAGGATGGAGAACAAAGTAACATTTAATTTCTTGCAATCCTGGGCTGTGTAAAGTTTGAAAAAAAAAAAACCTTCAAGAACATAATTTCCAGCTATGGGCTTCATTTTCTTCATTTTCTTCCCAGAACATATTACTTGCCCAATTAAAGGCAACTGAAGAAATGGTATGAAATTGTTTATTGCCATTTACAAGTACAGTGACTCACTCATTTGAAAGAATATTACTTGGGTTCTGAAACATAGATGATCAACCACTGTTTTTTTTAGTAGTAGAACTTTTCATCTATGGCCATACCACCCTGAACATGCCTGATCTCTTCTGATCTGGGAAGCTAAGCAAAGTCAGGCCTGGTTATACTTGGACTGGAGTGAGTAGCATAGCTTTTCTTCTAAACATTACTCTGCTAAGAAGCTCTGTATAGAAAACACATATAAGTCATCGAAAAAGTTGGAGTAGGGGAAGAAAGGGCCTTGAAGCATCCAACTGTTCTTTCTCAGCTCTCTCCCTGCCACACGTATTGCAACCCCCCATGATCTCCTCACCCCTCACCCCATCCCACCCCAGCACTCTGTACCACTCCTACAAAATGTCCTAAGAACCTTAGGTCTCCTAGAAGTAATTTAAAATCACTGTTCTAGAAGAAAGTAAGAAAGCTTTTCCTACTGTGCTTACCACATCTATTTACTGACTGCTGTTCAGGAGCCTAATCACCCCACAGAGTGCATTATAGTTCTATCCTATTAATGCCCATCTAAGAGATGTACATACCATTCTAAAGAGGCTCAGTTTTACTAGAGTTGCATTTTCAATTATACATTTGGATATTTTAAAATGTTGTACCCTTATCTTCTTGGGAAAGATTTGGGTAATAAGTGATGACGTCTAGAATTCATACAGATTATTTTAAAGTCATTAGTTTTAGAAGAAGTTGGATTAGCAAGAAGCTGGTAATGTAAATCATTAAAAAGTTATTTTCTCCCAAAAGTTCACAAACTAATATAAGTGATTTGATTATAATCTTAGAAATAAAATAACAGCATTCAGCAGCTTCTAAGTATTCAGTTTATTGCAAACACAGGGAATATAATAAACTCTCATACCAAGTCATTTGAACAAAAACAAGGACAATAGTCCCCCCTTATACTCAGGGGATGTTTCAAGAACCCCAGTGGATATATGAAATTTTGGATAGTACCAGACCCTATAAATACTATGTTTTTCCTACACGTATATACCTATGTTAAGTTTAATTGATAAATAAGACAGAATAAAAGATTGACAACAATAGCTAACACTAAAGTAGAATGATTATAACAATGTATTGTAATAAAAGTTACGTGAGTTACACTGTACTCACCCTTCTTCTTGTGAAGGTGTAAGATGATAAAGTTCCTATGTGATCAGATGAAGTGAGGTGAATGAGGCATTATTAAGTAAAGAGTGATGAATACAAGCACTGTGACACTACTTCACTTATTCTAATCACTGAGTCATCTACAGTGTGGAAATGCTGGACAAAGTAATGATTCAAATCCTGAGCAGGACAGAGACAGATGGCATGGGATTTCATTGCACTACCTAGAGCAGCACACAATTTAAAACTTATAAATTATTTATTTCTGAAATTTTCCATTTAATATTTTTGACCTTGGTTGACCACAGGTAACTGAAATGTGGAAAGCAAAACTTCAGATAAAATGGGACTGCAGTAGTGTGTAAATGACATAAAAGGAAGTTACTTAACCTTTTTTTTACCAGATTATCAGATGTATTATAGGAGAATGTCAATTTAGAAATGCTAGATAATTTTACAAAATATTCACGTGCTATTTCTGATTGATATCCCAAACTGTGTAACTGCTTTACACCACTGTACATATGTATTTTTGACTCACATCAAAAAGAATATACAGTCAGTGTATATCATTTTACTATGGGAATGAAACATTTGTCACCTGACCTTCCTTCTAATTTGTGGTTAAAATGAGCAAATAATATTTAGCTGTTTTCTCATCTACTAGTATGTACTCATTTGGCAGAAACTTGATAATGGGTGGGAGTTCTGGATTTAATATTTTTAGCACTTTATACACAGAATTGTGAAGTAGAGTTTCTTATTTTAATGAATTAAATATATTTGGAGAAAGCCTACTCCAAAAAATGCCAATGAACAGTTTGCTTTAATACTCAATGCATGGATCCCATAATGTGCCAAATACTGTGCTATCCACTTTCAGTTCCATTATGTTATATAATCATTACAGCACCTCTTTGAAGAATGTTGCTATTATTCTCATTGAGAAGACTGAGCTGAGAGAAATTTGGTCAACATCACATAGAAAATCAAATCCAAATGTTTGTATTTCATATATTCTACTAATTTGAATAAAAACAGAAGAGGTCCCTGTTCAGTCTGTTGGAAGTCAGCATGGTGATCAGGGCAAAAAATTATGATGGAGAAAGTGATAAAGTCAGAAAGGTAGATTTTGGCAAGATTTTAGAAGACTGTGAGTTTCTAAATGATTAATAGGGAGAAATAGTTAAAGATTACAAAAAGGATAAGGGAAATCATTTTGAAATGAAGGGTATAAATTTGGCTTTCATCCTGTACAGTGTGAGGTACTTTTTGTCATGAAGTTTTCTTGTATATCCCATGTAAGGAGAGAGAGATGCAACTGACTGGAGCTCTAAGAGCCACCTTCACACTATGAAATATAATTCCTGGAAGAAGCACAGTGGCCAAGATAGTTGGAAGGACCAGAGGAACATGACAAACTGGACAGAGCCCAGGGTGAGCTAGAGGTGCCCACACTTATGAGAATCGAAGGAGAGGGGAAACTAAGGAGGGCCTAGAGGAGACAAATGGGCAAGAAGTGGGACAACCAGGAGAGTGTAGCCTTTACAGAAAGTAAGAAATCTTCACTAGTGGTACCACTCAATACTTCAAAG